CTTCTTTATGCTCGGTTTTAGGACTAACTAATCCTAAAACCATGAAGCTCAAGGGACAAGTACAAGGCAAGGAGGTGATAGTCATGATCGACCCCGGAGCGACGCATAATTTTTTGTCACTCCGGTTGGCCGAGGAGGTTGGGATGCCACTCGATGAAGGGGGTGGATTCGAAGTGTCTTTGTGCAATGGTGAAACAGCAAGGGGAAGGGGCGTATGTAGAGGGGTGAAGATCAAATTGGAAGGAGGCGTGGTGTTGGTAGAGGATTTCTTACCCTTGGGATTGGGCAATGTCGATGTCATTCTTGGAGTACAATGGCTTGAGAAGCTTGGAACGGTAACTACGAATTGGAAAACTCATGTCATGAGTTTCGAACTTGAGGGGAAGCCGATTACCTTAGTGGGGGATTCTTCCCTCGACAAAACCCAAGTGTCCCTTAAAGCCATGATTCGCAACCTTTGTCGAAATAAGGGGGGATTGCTTGTGGAAATAAACCGTGTGGAGGTAGCAAGAGAGTCGAAGGAGGAGAGTGCGGTTCCGGAATTTTTAAGGGAGGTGGTTAGTAGTTTTGAAGGGGTGTTTCGGATGCCCAACGGGTTGCCACCAAACCGAGATCATGAACACGCCATTACCCTCAAAGGGGGTAGCAACCTGGTTAGCGTGAGACCGGGGTACCACTTCCCTCAAGCTCAAAAGGATGAGATTGAGAAGCTCATCCAAGAGATGCTTGATGCCGGCATCATTAGACCCTCTACTAGTCCTTTTAGTAGCCCGGTCTTACTTGTGAAAAAGGACGGTTCTTGGTGGTTTTGCGTTGATTACCGTGCCTTGAACAAGGAAACAGTTCCGGATAAATATCCGATATCGGTGATTGATGAGCTACTTGATGAGCTCCATGGAGCAGTAGTGTTTTCTAAGTTGGACTTGAAGTCCGGCTATCATCAAATTCGGGTGAGGCCCGAGGACACACATAAAACGGCTTTTAGAACCCAAGAAGGGCACTACGAATTTCTCGTGATGCCATTCGGGTTGACTAATGCCCCGGCTACGTTCCAATCGTTGATGAACGATGTATTTCGACCATTCTTGAGGAAATTTGTGTTGGTATTTTTTTATGACATTTTGATTTATAGTAGGAGTAAGGAGGAGCATGTGAGGCATGTGAAGTTGGTACTTGAGAAGTTGGCCGAAAATAGTTTGTATGCCAACTTGAAGAAATGTGATTTTGGACGTGCCAAGGTGGCCTACCTTGGGCATGTCATTTCGGCTCATGGGGTGGCCATGGATGGAGAGAAGGTGGAGGCAATTGTGAAGTGGGAAACACCCAAGAACTAGAGGGAATTGAGAGGATTCCTTGGGCTAACGGGGTACTACCGCAAGTTTGTAGCCAAATACGCGCAAATTGCGGCCCCATTAACCGTCCTACTCAAGAAGGATAGCTTTGGATGGTCCGAAGAGGCTACTAAGGCTTTTGAAGAGCTCAAGATGGCTATGACTAAGGCACCGGTGCTCACTATGCCCGACTTTACTAAGGAATTTGTGGTAGAGACCGACGCCTCCGGATTTGGTGTAGGTGCGGTGATGGTGCAAGGAGGAAGGCCCATTGGTTATTTTAGCAAGCTATTAGGGGTCCGAGCACGAGAAAAATCGATATACGAGAAAGAACTTATAGCCATATGTTTGGCTATTTTGAGGTGGAAGCACTACCTCCTTGGGAGACATTTCATAGTGAGGACCGATCAACAAAGCCTTCGCTACATCACTCAACAACGAGGTGGGTGGAGAATATCAAAAGTGGATGCGTAAACTAGTAGGGTTCGATTTTGAAGTGCAATATCGGCCGGGGGCCTCAAACCGGGTAGTCGATGCTCTTTCTTGAAGAGACCAAGCCAAAGTGCAGTTGAGTGCACTAAGTCACTCATACGTTGTGGATTGGAAAGCATTGAAAAAGGATTTTGAGGCTGATGAGTGGATATCCCAAATCAGATTGCCCGATTCCAGCGGCTATTTGGGAAGATATCTCCATGGATTTCGTTGAGGGGCTACCCTTGTCGAAGGGGATTGACTCGATACTTGTGGTGGTGGATAGGTTGTCGAAGTACAACCACTTTATCGGGCTGAAACATCCCTTCAACGCCCCTGAGAGTAGCTGATTATTTCGTGCGCGAGGTGGTGCGCTTGCACGGATTTCCCTCTTCCATCGTTTCGGATCGGGACAGAGTGTTTATGAGTATTTTCTGGCGCGAGTTGTTTCGCTTGCATGGGACTCAATTGAAGCGGAGCACCGCTTATCGCCCACAATCTGACGGCCAAACCGAGAATATCAACAAGGGTTTACAGTCGTACTTGCGATGCTTCATCGCCGATCAACCCAAGAAATGGGCTAATTGGTTGCACTGGCAGAGTATGCCTATAACAACTCCCCCCATTCCGCAACCAAGCTCACACCATTTAAGGTGGATTACGGCTGTGAACCGCCTAAGCTATGGCGAATTGGCAATGGGGAAACTCCAGTGGATAAATTGGAGGAGACATTGAAAGAGGGACGAAATGTTGGACGAATTAAGGGTGAATCTGTTGAAAGCTCAGCAAGTCATAAAAGATTATGCGGATAAGAAACGCCGTGACGAGCAGTTCGAAGTCGGGGATGAGGTATTCTTGAAGTTGCAGCCGTACCGTTAGAGGTCCCATGCAATTCGGCCAAATGAGAAGCTCGGGGCACGATTCTATGGGCCTTTTCGTGTGTTGGGCAGAATTGGAAAGGTGGCATACAGATTAGACCACCCACCGGCGTGCAAGATTCATCCGGTTTTTCATATATCCCAACTCAAACGTGCAGTGTGAACCCTTCGATCCCAGTTCAATTAACGGCGGAGATGGAATTAGTCGTGGAACCCGAGGATGTGCTCGAGGTAAGGCAATCAGCAAGGGGATCGAATACTTTTCCAGAGGTCCTGATCAAGGGGCGTGGATTGCCACCCTTTGAAGCTACTTGGGAGGATAGTGCCACCATTGTCCAGCGGTTTCCTTCCTTCCACCTTGAGGACAAGGTGAATCTCGAGGCGGCAGGTATTGTAATGGATCAGCACTTGGGTCGGCCCATTAAGGTTTACCACCGTAGGTCCAAGTCCAAGAAGAATCACGTGCAACAAGAGAGGCAACCTCAAGTCAACTACAACAGTAACCAAGAGGGAGAGGAGACGAATTTGGAAGAACAAGGGAAGCAGTAGTTTTTGTCAAGCAAGCTATTTCGAGAAAGAGACAAGCTTGAAAAGGAGGAGACACCACTTTAGCAACTATGACAAAGTGATTGTGAATTCCAATTTGTAGAAGTCAGCCGTAATTAGTTTAGGGAAAATTGTAGTGCTTGAGTATAAATTGTAAGGCTTGTAGTTGTAGCCACTCATCCAGAAAATTTGTGAGAACTTGACAGAGATTAGTAGCCTCAAGCTACCTTAGAGAGTGATAGCCTAAAGATGTCAACTATCCCTTTTGTGTGTAATCCTTCGTTAATCAATTAAACAGACTCAAGCTTTTGCCTTAATCCTTAATTAATTATAAACTAATTAGTGTGAGAAACCAGTCCCTTACATCTTCATCAAACTATTAATCCATATTGGATTGGTGGGTTTTTCTCCCGGTTCTTAGGTTTCCCACGGTAAATACTCTTTGTCACGTTTATTACTTGTTTTTCCGTCTTCATTGTTGTTAATTGTCATTAATCGCAAACTAGCTAGCACATTTGTTAATCCTTTGAATATAGACAAAATATAGTTCACAGAGAGGTTGATTAAGTTAGCTACAAAGAGATTGAACATAAGAGTAGAAACTAGAGAATATTAGTGGGTATAGGGAGCAAAGATTATAGAACAGAAATCCTTAAGTAAGAGTGCTGGTTTGCCTGTACCAAACAGCCTCTACAACATTCTCTTGAACAAATTCCTCATAATTCATCTGAAGATAAGATACTTATTTTAGTTTTATAAAAATAACTTCAGTTTGTTAAAAATAAGTTCATTTGAGTAGATCAGTAACTGTAAAGAAGAAATATAATAAAGAATCTGTAAATATAATTTCAGTGAAGTAAAATTAAATTCAGTTCAGTGAAAATAGTTTCAGTTTGGCAAAACTAAAGTGAAAAGAAAAGGGCCATAGTATGGTCTAGAGCTCCTAAATTATTACACCTTAAAACAATAATTAGTTACTAACTGAAGAACAGATACCACTTCTATTAACATACTATTAGAAAATTCTCCATTTACATTAACAATAGCAGTAAATGATGGCACCTCCTCTAGCCTCCCTCATCATGACTCATTTTATTATTCCCATCTGCATTACAACTTAATCTCTACTAAGAGGTTGTTGTCCAATTGCAGCCTTTTTGTTCCCCCAATATCAAACAAAGTTGTTTCAAAGTGGCATTCCATTGGAAATTGGTTTAGCACTTTATCTGAGACAGCACCATCCGCACCTCCTTCCGCCTCCCACATCATGACTCAACTTATTCTTGCCATATGCATAACAATTAGATCTACACTAAGAAGTTCATATCCAATTGGAGCAGCCTTTATATTCTCCAATTATCAATCAAAGCTGTTTGCAAAGTGACAACCTAGCACACACACGCGCGCACACGCAACCCACACACACCCACCAACACACACACACACACCACACACACACACACACACACAAATATGTAGCAGGGGCGCTGCTATATTATCAAGTCCATACTACTAAACCTAGAGCTAGTTAACTGATTTTAGAATCCAAATCACCTCCCTTGAGTAAATATCACAGTTATATTAACCAACAAGCCCTTATTTGTTGCCTCCTGATTATGGTTATAACATTGAAGTCACAAAAAAAAACACACACACACAAACTCAATCTTAGCCTCTTAGGAAGATCTACATATAATAAGATATATGGCTCTTCCAATGAATAATTATGATGATCTCTAAACATCAATTAGCAGAAAAAGGTAAAAGAGGATACCGTTCATGGCCAAATTAGCAACAGCACCAGAAGCCACTCTAAGAATAGTGGTATTTTGAGAAGTCTGCAATAACATAAGCAGGGCATCCAGGCCTCCCTCATTCACAATCTTCTCCTGATTAATATCTGACATTAAAAAATAAAAAAAATAAAAAAAAAAAGAGAGAGAGATATCAGAAGTTAATAAAAAAGGTAATTTTATAAGAAGATAGAACAAGTAACTTCATTAACAAGTATGACGGATTCGTTTCATCATGAGTTAACAAAACCTGAATCGAATATTCACATACTATATTAAAGTGATTTTTTTAAAAAAAAAAAAAAAAAATATCGAAAGAGGATATGAGTCTATTAAATTATGACTTAGAATAAAAATGAAATTAACGCTTTGCTTTTCATGGAATGTCCCTTTAAGAATGGGTAATGCATCTCCACTAGCAAAGTTCTCCTATCTTCCTTGTACATATTTTTATTTCATTATTTGGTCTTTAAGCCATGCTTATTGGGTGTTTCCTGCATGTCGAAAGTTTACCCTTCGGCATAGCCTATTTCAAGTTCTAGCTTGTTGTGATTCCCAACGATAATATTTACTGCAAGTATTTTGATGAAGGTTATAAGTCCTATGGCATTCAATTGAACTTATAAGCTAATAACTGCCTTTTTTTAAGTTAAAATAGACCAAATCATATCAGACTAGAGCAGATCATATATAAACAATTAGATCATCTCATTTAAGTTCACTTTTTTTCTAAATTGTTATAATTATTTTATAAACTCATGTAATGCATGCTTTGCATAACATATTAGTTTTAGCCTTATAAACTACTAACAATGAGCTTAAATTAATTCAAATAACAAACTCATAAATGAGCACTCGTTTGTACCAACTATTTGTTACCTTTGTTTACTAATCTATGTGTTACTAACATTGTAATATATTGGTTTGATATTAAGAATTTTTAAACATTAGTAGAGAAACAGTGGTAACAGCATTGTATTTTTTTGATAAAAATTAGAAAACTAATCCATATCATATACTTTTTCCGTTCTTTAAAAATGAAACATTTCATTTACATGCTTGTTGATGGATATATTCAACCATTACCTTTCATTTTTCTCACATAACTTTAAAAAAAATTTAGTTAACTATAAAACAATTTTTTTAAATTTTTTTTATTAAATTACAAATTATTAAATTAGCTTTTATGCATTACCATGTCCCCAGTCCATACTAAAAATTTAAACTCTTTAGAAATGTGCATGGCGATCGCGTTTACAATAACAACCACGTCGCGGGAACGGCTTGTAACGGCTAAATAGAACGAATCGCAGATTTCACGGTGTGAATTTTTATACAAAAATCACATATGTTTGTCATTGTTTACTGTTTTCAGTTTTTTTTTTTTTACAAAAAACCAAAAACTAAAAACATAAAAAAGATGTTTGAATGTTTCCACTTTTCAGTTATCGGCTTTCAAAATCATCATGATTTTAATAAGTTTGACTAATTTTTTATTCATTATATGACATATATCATATGATTTTGAAAAACAAAAAACAAAATCAGAAAACCACAGCGATGCCAAACAAAGACAATAACACTTATTCAAAAAACAGCTTCTTTACTCACTGTCTTAGTATTTGTACCATATTATGCTCAAACTATGACAATAATACATATTACTCCCTCCGTTTCATAATGTTAGTCCCATATAGAATCAATCACATAAAATAAGAAAAAAATGAAAATTTGGAATCTAACATTAAAGTACAAAATAATTCATAATTAGTTTACCTTATTTAAGTTTTTTGATTTTTTTTTTTTTTGGGGAAACATAAATCATAATGGCATGATTCAAGGTAGAGATTTTCCTTATTTAGAGTTATATCATCAATCCACAACCAATTAATACCAAAAAAAATTAAGTTAAAAATGGAATATATTTAATATGGGTATATTTTTTTGAAACGCCCAAAATAGTACATGGGACTAACATTATGAAACGGAGGAGTAATATTTTAAAAAAAAAAAAAAGAAAAAGGGGTAAAAAAAAGACTGCTATTAGGTAACTCAGTAACTCACCACAAAGGAGAAATAAGTAAAGGGGTAAAAAAAAGTGATGGGAAACAATTGTCACAACAGTAAAAAGGGTAAAAATAAAAAAGTAAAAAGGGGGAAAAGGTGGAATACAGCGCTGTAAAGCACCATGCGACTCATTTGACGCTCAGATTTTTTTGTACTTCCTTTCTTTTTTAACCTCCCGCTCCCTCAAATTTCTTCCTTCTCCATAGCCATGGCAACACTGGTTCATAGGGATGAAGGCCATTCAGAGCATCTCAGCATGGCCAAAACGATTACTTGCGAATGTAATAATTTCAAAAACAGAGTTCTACAATTACAGAACGGCCAACTCGCCTATTTGGGTGTGAATGTCAATTTGGCGGTATATAAAAGCCTTTTTTGGATCGGCAATTCTAAAAACCCGTTACAAAGCGGACATTACATAACGTAATGGCCGGATTTTTTTCCATGGAAATGTGCCCCTTGATCCTTAATTATATAGCTTTCCAAGTCTAACACTTAGACCTATACCCAAGTCCGACACCTATACCCAGCATCCTAGATTTTCACAACTACATTAATAAACCTCACTTCCAAAAATCTCCTACAAGGCTACAACCTCTCTTATAATCCTTTCTCAATCAAACACTCGACACTCCCACAAGAGATTTGGAATTGTACAACCTCTCTTTTGGTCCTAAATAACTAAATCAAACATCCCCAGTATTATCATTCATAAAGAGAGATTGGGGAGTGGACCAAAAACACACACAAGAACAAGCGCATGCACAATTGAGGATCACTTTAGCATGCCAGTCTTGCCCAAAATGCATCACATTTTATAAATTGTACGATTTTGATTAAACAAGTGTCAATTAATCACTTTTTAAGGAAACAATAAGATTAAAGCAGTCACCTTTAAACTGTTTATAGAAAGAGAACACTATTTTAGAACATTCAATAAAATGAACATAAGCGAATTTAAGAGACAGCAATTGTATACTGAACACATCAGAGCATAGCTAAGAGATAAATACATTACCTTCAGCAGCAAGGTTTGCTACAACCTTTAGTGCATGCATTTGAACTTCAATATCTTCAGATGATAACAATTTTAGTATCCTTTCAAGCCCAACTGATAGAAGGACATATAATCAGGACCTTTGAAATAAAAGTTTTGGATGAAACCTAGATCCTTTTCACACTAACAAAAAGCAAAGATGCAAATAAAAAACAATAACTTTCCTTCTTCACAGATCTTAGCAATTGTTGCCCTCTGGCCAGATATAGACCTATTTAAACCCATAGCTGACCGGAATGATGATGATTCTTTCATGTGCTGTTTGGCATATGATTTCTTGTCCTGAAAACAAAAAAAAAATCTGGAACCTTCATATTCTACACCAGGAAAGTGCAGCATCAGAGATAAATAAAAGGTGTTATAACTTCAAGTCACCTCAATGCCTTCGCTATTTGCTGATAAACATTTCTTTAACCTGACCAATTCGGCTTCAAGTGTCATCCTTTGTTTCTCCTCCGTCAAGAATTTCTCCTTTAAAGTATCAAGTTCATCCTTGAACTTTTCCTTAAAATACAGATGACAAAACCTTGTCACTAAATTGAGAGACATTGAGATTGGCTAGACAATACAATGATTTATTGAAGTTAGAGGGTTCTACCTTGTCTAATAGCAAATTCGCATTTTCTAGTTGCAGACACTGCATTTTATCAACAGCATCTCGATAATTCTGGTCTTTTTCTTGCAATCTTTCTGTCAAATCATTTATCTTGCTCTTCACCTGATCCTATACATGAAAACAATTTTATGAAGAAATTACAACAATTATTAGCTAATTTTATAGATTATAAATACCTGTCAAATATCATCATGGACTTGCTAAAAAACAAAATGTCAGCAATAATCTTTTGACTATATTCAAGTTTCAACTCTATTACTCCAACTGTACCTCCAAATTTATTTATTTATTTAATATTTTAATTTTATTTTTAGTGAATTTAGCTTATATATAAAGTATAGATGTAAATTATAAATGTCAATAAAAGTTTGATTGTTGACAGAGAGACAAGATGAAGTATACAAAGTGCTATGATGGAGAGAAAGTCAGGTTAATGTGATGGAGAGATTTAAAAAGACTGCCAAAAGAGTTTGATTGAAATGGAATTGTGAATTACATATAGTTTGGGAAAATTAAAAAACAAAGTGTGGAAATTTTATAGGGGAAGAGACAGTATAAAAGAGGACCAACTCCCCCATTGCTTGTTCATAAACAAACATGTAACAGCCCATTTGATTTTACTACCTTTACATTTCAGGCTTCTATGTCTTTCCTTTGTACCATGTTTTTTAGTTTATAGCTTCTGTCAGTAATAGATAAATAAAATTGCACTTATGTACTAGTGTCATGTACTCATGTTTTATCTCTATTTGAAATTTGCACAATAACATCTATACAATATATTATAAGGCATTCCTAAAGAATTTAGGTGCCACATTGCACCTTCCTCAATCAATTGAGTCTTTCATTCTCGCACTGAAGAATATGGCTTGTACAAGATTTGAAGTTTTAACCCACGACCTTAAGTTTTGAAAGTATAGTGTTAGCCACTAAGCTATTACCATATTATATGTCATTCTATCAAAATTAAATATAAATAAGGATTTCAATCATGGAATTAATGCAGTAACTCGGGGCATCACCCGGGCATAAAAACTAGTTAATGGTTAAAAGCCATGATAGATAAGGTTAATTGTTAAGCAAGAGTTACTTGCCTTGTTAGAATAGGTGAAAACAAGATAAATCCAACCAAGGTAGCCTTTTCAGACATCACAAGTCAGTAGTTTTCCCTATAGGCTATAGTAGAAAGAAAGTGTAGTAATTTCCACAATCATCCATATTTCTTTCATTTTTAAAATTGGGAAGTCGGATTGTGGAGAAAAAGAAACCTGATAATAACATATTCATAAGTCTCATAACAGTAAATAAATGGTATTTACCAAACTTGTGTTAAAAAAACTCAGGAAAGAGAGGGGAAGCAAACAGGGGGAAAAGCCACTCTATAGTACAACATTTTATTTCACCCCAACTATTAGTGTATGATACTATCCAAAAATATAAGTGTCTGATAATTAACACTACAAAAATGCATCAACACTACACTTTAATACTGCCCAATAAAATAATACTTTCCTTGTATCATAATTTTGGAAACTCATAATTCCCCAGTATCTTCAAGTTACAAAAATTTACATGTTACACTCTAAGATACATCCCAAATTTGGTACTTGTAGGCTTGTAGCCAATTCAACATGTCCAAATCCACTGTAATCAAGGTTTATATAAAATTATAGATTCATATATTAGAAGACTTACCTGACTTGATTTCTCTTCACTGAGATGTTTCTTCAATGATTCCATCTGTTCCTCTGCATGTGCACGACAAGCACGCTCATCTTCAAAACGCTTCTCTAAATTGGATATTTTCTCCTCATACAACTGGATGGTTTCTAAGAGCAATTTCTGTTCAGTAGTCTGATCACTTGAGACATTTCTAAGAGAGTCCAATTGCTTCTCAGCATGTTCACAACGAAAATACATGTCATCTAATTTTTTACTTAAATCTGCTATTGCCTTCTCATGTGTTTCCTTGGCATCAAGCAGCTCCTTCTTCAGTTTGGAATTTTCTGTTTGAAATAGCTACTAAGAAAAAAAAAACCCCAACATTAGTCACGACTCATGAGGTACATTAGTATCACAGATTGCAAAAGAGATAGTATAGAAAAATTGAAATTTCAAGCAGCAAAATTAGCATGCCGAAAATTGAGAGTACATACAATCAAATGAAATATACAGTTGCATACCTGTTTAATCATTATAAAAACTGGAAAATGAAAATTAATATTGAAAATAGCAGGAGTTCGAAAAAAAAGAAATGAGAAAAGGCCCTAAAACTATACTCAAAACAAACTAAAATATGGCTAGAAATTCTATCAGCATTATAGGAATTTCCAGCAGAAAGAAAACATCGAGTTTGGAACATGTAAATAAAGGAGTCAGTGATGGGAGCAATAGTGCTTACATGTCACAATAAAATTAAAAAAACAGATATGTAAGCAGAAAATAGTAAATTTTGGGCTGTAATGAGACTAATTGCAACTGGCAGTCCTACATATGTTACCAGCTGTGAAGAAGTTAAAAAGTAAATTTTCTTCTGAACCAAGTATCTAGCAATAAAGTCTTTGCAATTGTATAAATCAGATTGTTTAAATCTAATCCCCACCCACCCTATGGTGTGGCAATCAAAAGGAAAAGCAACTGACCTTCATGGAGCCCTCGTGATCACTCAGAAGTGCCTTCAAGACATCTGATTGATTTCCAGCTCTTTCATAGCGAGCTCGCTCATCCTTCAACTGCTCAATCAATGCTGCTATTTGGTTTTCATACATCTGAGTAGTGTCTGCAAGAGCTTTCTGATATGTCGAGTTTTCTTGATGATTTTGCTACAACAATAGATCAAAATCAGTATAGCTCATGAACCAAAGATTTATTAGATTGATGATAAACTATTTACACTTATTACTGAGGGAATAATTGAGGCTGTGCAAGAGGATGAAAATCACACTATACTTGAAACATGGAAATGCCAACTGAATGACTAACATATCATAATAACCATTCATCATTTCAGCTCAAGTATCCATATCTGATATCAGGAACTCCAAATGGGAATGGACACTTCAACCTTTACCAACAACGTGGACATGCAAGTGATGCAACTCATCTCAAACATGGGCTTATGATAAGTCCCAAAGATGCAATAGTCATTTACAAAAGCTTGTTGGGAAAGCTTAATAGATATATAGTCCTTTAAGATCATGCTGGAGTTAATCCATGAGAGTTTCTCAAATAGACAAAGTATTTACTATCATAAGTTGTTCTTCCATATTATATTTCATTCCCTTAATATTTGTATGCAAATTGTTTATACTTCCAAAGCCTCAATCTCCAGAATACATATAATGACCACCCCAAAGGAAAACATAGAGTAAAATTACAGCAAATCACACATAGTCAATAAAATGTCTTTTGAAGGGAAATAATAATAAAAATTGTGACAAAATCGGGCTAAGTGAATAGAAGTTAAAGGAGATACCTTGTATTGTTCTATACTCATTTCTAGACGTGCCACTTCATCATGCAATAATTTATTATAATCTTTCTGGTGATTTAATTCATCCAACATAGCTTTCATATCCTGCTCCAAACGAGCATTTTCCTTCTCTAGGATCTACAAACAAATGAGTAAATCTGATACTGTAAATAAGACAGAATTTACAAAATCAATAAAATACAGTCTAAAAGGTGATGGAAAGATAATTGATGGATCTCATGAGAGTATGAGACTATTAGGCAACAAATATAATAAGAATATAAAAGACAAGGAAACTACCTCAGACCTTGCAATTAGCCTCTTTTCTTCCTCAGCGGATGAACGTTGAAACTCTTTGATCTTCTTCTCCATTTCATTTTTATATTTATCCCTCATCTTTTGTTGCCTATCAATTTCTTCAGTAAGATGGTCAACTTGGCTTTCAAGCTTTCTGGAAAGCCTCTCATAATCAAATTCTTCTTTCACCTTCATCACATTTACTACCTTCATAGCCTGAAATCACAACAAACAACTAAGAACTCTTATAGAATGACCAATGTGAAAATGGCATATTTATTGAGAACAAACAAGCGCACACACACACACAGAGAAACAGCCTGGCATTCAGGTTTATTGAGTTGAGAAGTTCAAATTAGAGTTATAATTCAGACCATTTCCGAAAATTCTGGATGACTAATGAATTTAAATCACAACTTTAGTAAGTTTAAATAAAGGCTAGTGATTTCAATAATGATTAAATCAGACCAAAATTCACACAAGAGGGAATTTAGGCAAAACGAGCATAACCTCCCTCCCACAGAGCACAGTTTCAAAATTACATAATCCCATAAGTGACTAAACAATGATGAGTAGCATATTAGAGAGCATTCATTACAATGGCAATAAGCAGTCATCATCCATTGAAATGGAAGAAAATTTTAACTACATGGTACATTAGGAAGCATGCAGAGAAAATAATTATATGCCAAAGTAATCAACTTTCAGATGAGACACATCATCCAAATTTGTCTCCACGCAAACATAAAAAAAATTTGTAATTATTCGTAACACTGTACCAGACCATCTGAAGATAGAAACACAAGTAAGAGATAAGCCATCTGTCTTCAAAAGATTATTTAAGACACATAAGCATTGAGATTTTTTTATTTTTTTTTTCGAAAATCAAAGTAATTAGTTCACCACAGTTTTAAGAAAGCATGCCACCATGTAATAATCAAGAAGATTAAAATATCTCACAGACATTAGCCAGTAAATCTATGTAATAATCAAGAAGATTAAAATATCTCACAGACATTAGCCAGTAAATCTAGTTAGTACGTTTAAAGAAGCTTATAAATCTCTAAACAAAAAGAAAAACTCAAGAGCAGGTATCAAACAGACATTTGTGCACCATGAAATTTTGAACCATAAACTCAGAGAAGTTACTTACTCTTTGCCCAAACATTATTGTGCTAGTTGTTTCTGCATGATGACGTGCTGAAGGCCCAATTGTAGTTATTAAAGAGGTCCTAGCAGAGCCTATGCAACAAAGATGCACACCAAAATTAGGACAAGCAAAAGTAGGATTACAAGATCAGTTCTGATGGACAATACGACAAGTCAAAGAGATTGCATGATAGTCCCTCCTTTATATTTATCTTCCTGCTTTCCGTTCTAGGGTGTTCTTTTTTTACCTTCCCACTTTTACTAGATTCCTTTGATAGCCAAAGAAATCCTCTTTTTCCTTCCTTAGCCCACCAGATGATCTACTTATATTATTATACTATATGATTTCATTACTACCCACTTTCCACCAACTTTTCCTTGGCTTTTGATGTTAGAGTAGATATAAAAACTTTGGTGACTACTTTGCTTTTCCTGCCTTCTTTTCAAGGAGATAACCTAAAGCACTTAATCAAACTCAACACCATCAACATAAGATTACTTCCTACCCAAGGCAAGGCGGGGTTGTTCATATGAGCTTAAACATACCCCCCTTGTGATAACACAGAAGATGTTCACATTTGATTCTTGATTCAAAACGACAACTGTCTGCTACATCAAAATTTGGAAAAGGCATTTAGAATTTAATGTAAAGATTCAGCGAATTTGGGTAAACAACCTTCTACACTAATACACTTCCTCAGTTTATTTATTGCAACATTTCCTTTATTTGGAGATGCATATTCATAACAACATTACTAATATGGCAATGGATTCGCTAGATCTCTCTCCTTATTACATGACTCCTCACTCTGTCTCTCTCCTTTAAACATGGACTCCTGAAAAAAAAGTGCATCCCCTACATGTGGAAATAATATACAAGCACGGGAAATACTAACAACAGAATATCATAAGAAAACAGAGAAGACCCAAGACAAGGAGTTAAAACACAAATGTAGGAATGTGGGACATCCCAAAATAAGAATTTTATTTCAGTAAAGAGCAAGCATGTGAAAGCTTATTGCAGGTAGCCCTACTAAAAGGAGGGGGGTGATACCCTAAATTCATTAGTAGATAAAATTGGGAGTTCAAAGATTACCAATGGCCAAAGATTGCTTACGAAGACTTTATATTTGAGCAGGTGATTTCAGGACAGAGAAAGTATCCAGCATATACCAATAAGTCCCATACATGTAGATTTAGAAAGGATTTTTAGATTTACCCCCAAATGAATCACGCAAAATTCTTGTTAACTTGGAATCTCGAGTTGGGATATGAGGACTGCTTTCAGCCAATGCATTTATGCATTTTCCCAATGCAGTGAGAGAGAGATTGATAAATTTAGCCTCCTCAAGCAATAGTCCTTCACTGCCTGTCATGAAAAAACAAATTCATAAGTAAATAAGGTGCTATGATTTTAGAAAGAACAGTATGATCAAACCATTAGCTTCAAAAATACAATCATCAAGTCAGTTGCATGCTATCATTATACACCAATAACAACATTACTTATCTCAGTTTCTTCTTTTTTTATATATATTTTTTCTGACGGGGCTGATAGTACATTACTTGTAGAAAGAGAAACAGTCAGAATATATAATTACAGGAACTAAAAGTTCAAGTTACAAAAGAAGCTCTTATTACACAAAGATGCTTTCACAGATACTAGCTTTTATCAAACACAATACCTTTTTGGCTAACATAATATATAAACACCCACTCTACCAACTTACCAGATTTGTCAATCCTTTCAGATCCAGTCAGAATATATAATTACAGGAACTAAAAGTTCAAGTTACAAAAGAAGCTCTTATTACACAAAGATGCTTTCACAGATACTAGCTTTTATCAAACACAATACCTTTTTGGCTAACATAAAATATAAACACCCACTCTACCAACTTACCAGATTTGTCAATCCTTTCAGATCCAGCAAGATCCACAATTAGCAGCTTGCCTTTTCGTATCTTATCTATGCCCACATCACTCTGTGCTTCAGTAGCAGCCACTTTTTCACAAGTAACATTTTTACCTTTCCCAACAATGGACCTTTTCACAGAAACCTGAAGCAGACACAAAAACAGCAAGTAGTATGTAAAATGAAAGAAAAGAAATATGTAACAAAGAAAAAACTTTAAAATAATTCTCACCATTAATATAGCATGACTGCGTGAAGAGCTTGTGTTGAGCTTGGTATTTGCAGCATGGCGATTTGCCTCACCACATTGAAGCAGTTCCATAAAGTGATCAAGATCATGAATTTTAATCACTGAAGCACCGGGCAACAGCACCTCCCCCGTTTTAGCATCCTCAACAACCGGAATATTAACCTTCTCAGGTGCAAGTAGATCTTGAATTGTTTCCATGTACAGCTAGAGTAAATAAACGAAAGATGAGTAACAGCTAAAATGGTAGAGAATATGCTAATGAATTTTCAATAGGCCATATCAGTAGTGGCATCTGGGGGAACACTATATAACCAGAATTGCAATTATAATTAATTTACTAATTAGTTCCACTGGTTTTTGTAAGTGCATCGGTTTGACCGGCAAGAAGTTTTAGGAAGGTGAGTTGAATGGAGTATAATACTGAGTAAGTGAGATTTGTTGGGAATTCAAAAAATAATAAGAAAGGAGATAGTGGGGTAATAGTTTATTGAAAAAAATAAGGGATGTGAGAGGAGAGATAATTATTAAAAAAAAAAGGAACTAAAATAGAAGTGGGGACCATATGAGGAGAGAAACAATAAAAAAAAAATAAGAAAGATGCCCAAAAAAGAAAGTGAATAAGTGATGCACTGGCCGATTTAGGAGAGTGATGCAATTAAAAAAATTAGAAGGGAATGACCCTTAAATCGCAAGCTGTGGCTTTTCACTTCAACAAAGAAAACTAAACCACGAACCCAAGTATTGAACTATCCTTAAGATTCTAATCTCTAGAAATATAACCTAATAGTAGCCAAGTTCTCATGTCATGCATTAAAGAACATAAAAAGTGGCACCATGACTAGTCACGTTTATAGTATTAGTGTTCACAACAATCCCATGGTACTGCCAACCAATATCAAAACTTAAGCAAAGCTATTGCCAATTTGCCAGTACCCCAAATTATACAAGTTAATCCATTACTAAAATACATCAGGATCAGCAACATATAACCCTATAAAGCATAAAGCAGTCAAATACCTGTACGTAGGAGAACTCCACGCCCTCATTAGAAAGAGATGTATTTGCAATTATGTCTTCTACAGCTCTAACAATGATGCCGCGCTCTGATGCATCATTTTTGCCTAGGTTGCCTACAGTGTAAGTCTTCCCAGTACCTGTCTGACCGTAAGCCATAATTGTCCCATTATAGCCACTCAACACACTCTGCCAAGCAAGTGGATATTTAAATATAATCAATTAAAATCATATATGTAGAGAAACAAACCCTTAAAAAAATACTCATATAAAAAGAGGTCATGTTCCTTAATATGAGTAATACAATAGAAAATCACTTTGCTAGTTCAAGGAGGAAATCAAAATCTATATTTCAGTGGCTTAGACACTGCACATTTATAAAAGTAACTACTCTGTAGCACATATGAAGAGCACACGAAAACAACATAAACTCCCTATATTTCAAAAGTGTAGTAGCCTAAGTTGTCCAACATTCACAAAAAAAAAAAAAAAAAGCCCAACTCTTGCAAAGTTGATTTTTATGAAGTTTATAGTGTATACAGAATTTTACTATTTATAGAATAGATTTTGTCAAATTTCTAAGATATATAATAAAAGATTAGATGGGAATGAGAAAGTTCATTTGTAAAAGTTAGGACATTAAATCATTAATAATGATATAAATTTTGGCATGAAATATGGAAGTTACATAACACTCCAACAGATGTATAAAAGTTACCTGTTACTCTGTTAGTGAGAAACAGTACTAAAGTCAACTAGAACAATAAATTACCTCAACAACAGGTTTTGCTACAACTTCATAAATGCGCTTTTGGGAAGCAGATTCAGTAAATACTTCATCAAATTTATAAGATTCGGAACTCCAGTTGTTTTTCTTCAAACTCAGTTTATTTAGCTGCATTAATAAAGAACAATTAATCAGTAAAGCACCCAGCCAAACTTGCACCGCAGACTGCCAAATAATGAAATAACAAGTGACTCTAGACTATTTCCTTTTTCATTATTAGAAGCAAGAGTTTATTGACATGCCAAAAAAAGCTGTACAGAAAAGAAGGCATCCAATAAAACAAAAGGGAGAGCAAAGAAGACTGCAGAAACAACATTCAATACAATGATACTACAATACAACTACCCCAAAAGTACATGAAGCATATGATCAAGAACTGTCAAATAACTACCCAACCAACAACATATTGACTAAAGATCCTTCAAAAACCATACCATTCCTCACCAGTGACCTTCAACCAGTCACCCCCACTGCCATACAAGCCCAGCCCAACCCCCAGCCTTCCAGGCGCCGGCCGCCGCCCAAACACCCTCTCCTAACCCCGGGCCAGCGCCGCCCTGACTATCCTCCCCCTTCCTAAACCATCATTCACACACCCTCCGATTTCAAGAACCGTTTGGGAGGCATTTTAACTTAGTCTTCTGAGTATACACATTAAGCATCAAATCTTCCGCCGTATTATCCTCCTAACTTAGTCTTCTGAGTATACACACATCTAGAAATATGAAGCCTTAGTTTTAGAGGGCGCAAGGTGCACCAAGGGGTAAAATTCCTTGGAGTCTAGGTGCAAGGAAAAATCGCGCGCCTTTTGTGGGTGAGGTGCAACTTATTTATATAAGAAAAGATATTAATATTTATTTAATAAGGCAAAAAAAAGAATTCTGAAATAAGGTGAATGGGCCATGAGATCAATGGCTAGGATTCTTCAAATTCAAATGAAATTGGGGGATACGGATTTCATCTCTCCTCTAGAAGTAAAGTAAACCTGACCACCACAAAGTCACGTGGTGTTTTTTACAAGAATTATCTTACATATTAGCTATTGACGTCTTACAACATAAGACACGACATAATTTGTGAAGGCGCTCAAAGCAGCCTAGAAAAAGTGCATAGGTGTGCTCTTTTATAGGTCTTTGCGCCTCGCAGAACTGAGGCGCCAGCTCTCACGTCTGATTGTGTCTTGTGCATAGGAGCACTTTTTAAAATTAAGTATGAAGCTGGCAGGGTTTTAGATTAGGAGTTTGGTTTTAACAAAGTTGGCAACTTCATAGCCATGCAAGTGGAGGGATTTTCTTAGAAGATGACACTGAGCTAGAGCAAGAGTGGAGAAAGTAAGGAGAGAAAAGTTTGTGATTTAAATTTTAGTACTAGGTTATAGATAAATTTACAAGTTTAGGAATTCAAATCCAGATGTTCTCCAAACATTAAAAACGACAATGAAAATCAATGTTTATATTTCTTGTATTGAATTCAACTAATTAATATTAATTTCAGGTTTTCCAAACACAATCTTATTTAGTTATGGAAAGAAAGGAAAGAAAGAGAGAATAGGCTATAAAAACAAAGCATTTCATATTAAAATTATTACATTATTGACAAAAAAAGAAGAGGAGAAATAATCACCTCAGGTAATAATTCAACACAATCAGCAAAATCTGCATCTGAAGCAAGATCTTCATCATTTCTTGGCCGAAGCCTAACAGCCACTCTGACTCTTCCGGGTTCTGTAATGGGCAGCATTAGAGCTAGTTTAGTAAAATGAAGAGAAAAAGAAAACAAAATCCCATTTCATGCAAATAATTTGATTATCATGCAAAATTTCCCTATATACAATGAAAGTGAATTTCTCAAAGATTAAAGTTGTATCAACAACCCTAGATTTAACAAAGCTTTAAAGCATACACAACTAAAATGATATACGAAGTTATTGAACTTCAAAATTCAATATAACAAAAGTTCTAAAAGCTCCTCCCCCCACCCCAATTAATTCATAGCCATGGTTCATGCATTGTAGTCCCTTAATCCATAAACAATAGTTGTTTACCTCCTTTAATTTCTCTCCATATGAGGCAAGATCCCTCCCTCTTATTCTTAGCTATTCATTTATTTTAGTGCAAACATTCAAATCCTTAATCCATGAATAATGATTCAAAACTCCATTTACTTATCTTTCACAAAATTTGACAAAAAAAAAAGATAAATCAAACAAAGCTATTGTCCATGAAGTCATGAACACAAATATCCAATTCTTTTGTCCAATAATATCTCAAACTTAGTCAAACTGTCCTGTTCTTCATGTGAACCATAATAGCTTGCATTGAAATTCCTTATTCGACTAAATTAAACTACTACGTGTTGATCAATAATCCAAGATGATCGACACAAACAATAATCTAGCTTGATATAAGGCTTTTAGAATAGCAAATCTCAAAAGAGTTGGCTATGCTCATTAGTTTTTGAACTCAAGATCATTAACATCAAGGGAAAAAAAAAAAGAGAGAGAGTGGAGCAATAGGGAAGAACAAAAATTTGATAATCACAATCTTTAATCAACGCTATGATTATCGTCATCCTGACTCTATTATAACACTATTAATACAAAGTACAAAGTAATAAGCAAAGTAAAATCACAAAGATTAATGTATATTCTTGTACATTTAACTCACAATATTCGGTTAAACTTATGCAAACTCTATTGCTAATAATATAATTCTTCAAAGTTGACATATTAAATGGTTATCAAAAATTTAATCATTTAACTAATGAGGTCTTGACCAAGTGGTTAACACTGAACCCCTCACTCTCAATTGTAATTCATATTGCGCTCATTTAGATCAACAAAACCAATCAATCACTTAAACTAACTATAATTATGGATAATTGAAATAAATAAATAAATAAATAAAGGTTACACTTAGCTATGATTAAGCATCATATACAGTTTCTTCAAAAAAAAAATAAAAAATAATAAAAAAAAAAAAGCATCATATATAGTCTATCCTAAAATACATTAAAAAAAATGATCAATTAAAACCGCCCAATTACTCGAGATTATGTCATACATTCTCAACTTAATACGACTCCAATAAAAGTATTTGATGATAACCAAATTTTAGGAAATTTATCAGCCTAAAAAAACATGCTTCTCACCCTACTTTGATTAGCTTTTGTGATTTATAGACGGAATAAGTACAATGACATGGGATTTTCAAGATATCTAAGTTTTTATAATTTACTAATTGATAAATTCAATTTACAGTTACATTTTTAAATTGACAAACGTGATAAAAGAAATGTGTCGATTAATTAGAAACGAACCTGGGTCATGAGCAACAATAGAATTGCTTCTATTAAGAGGAGTAACAGGGCGCTTGGTGTTCGGCGCTTTGACAAAATCAACATCTCCGGCATTGTTATGACTTCTCGGAACCGGAGTAACAGAGCGTTTCGAATCATGAGCCCTAGAATTCGGGGTTACGGACCGTTTCGCCGTAGCAGGCGTCTTAGATCGATTGGGTTGATGCATTATAGGACCATTAACACTCTTATTAAGGGAATTACCCGATACATTAGACGATGATGAAGACGACGAAGAAGGCGATGAAGTCTGCCATGTTTGCCTCTCTTTACCCGATTTCTGGGTCGCCATTGATGGAATTTCTCACCGTTTTACCTCAAATGTCTCCCCCTTTGAGGTTAGAAGAAGGAAGAGAGAGAAATGGAGAAGCGGTTTCAATGGAAAATGATGGTGAGAAATGGAGAAGTAGTCGTTGGTTCTTCATGGATGAAAAGGAGGAGAGAGAGAGTAGAGGTGAGGTGATGTAGTTGGAAGCACGACTGAAGAAAGGGGAAAAAACAAAACTAAAATAATTGAATTCGACTCTGTTCAATCGAATGTTGTTGAGTTGGGTTTCTTTCCCGCGTATACCAATTGTAGGAGTAGGACGGGTGTGGTGTCAATTCGAGTAATTGGGTCGGGTTTGTTTGAGTTGAGTTGGTTGGATTCAATTTAAGTTTGAGTGATTTTAAATTTTTGTGCTTATATACATAAGCTAAGAGACGCACATAATGCGTGCGTGTGCAATATATATAATCTACTAAACTCGATTTTTTTTTCCCACAATATTATCGTTTAATTATTTTTTAAAAAAAAATATTAGTAGGTTTAAGAATTGCGTATAAAATGTAATTAAAAAAATATGTTGATGATGTCATGTAGGCTAAATAATAGAATTTGATTTTTCTTGAAAAATATTTATTAAAAAAAAAAAAGAAAAGATGGAAGTTTAGGTTTTTTTTTTTTAAAACTAAAGATGGTAGTTTTTAAGATAGTAGTTACAAGTTTTTTTTTTTAAAGGATGGTAATTTTTTTTAAATGAGGGGTATGTTGGGAAAGTAAAATTTATCACCCAAAACCCCTTTAACTAGTAAAATTTATCACCCAAAACCCCCTTTCACTTTATATATTACTATAGATAGATAGATATATACACTAGGTTAGATCATGTGACATGCACGGTATATTTTAATATTTATTGTAAATTTAGCATTATATTTAATATTTAACTAAAATAATAAAATTATCTAAAACTATTGTGAACAAATTTTGACCTCATTTTCTTCTTGTTTCATGTCTTTACAAAAATTTAAACATAGAATAGCATGTAAAAGAGTTGTTTGGTCGATGTGTCAAAAAAAAAAAAAGAGTTGTTTTGTCTAATGAAACCAAAGAGTATTTTAAAATAATACTTTGTATATATGTTGTTGCTCATATGAGTAATTATAAAATTTCAAAGACAAATGAATGGTGTATTATATTATTTTTCTTACTTAAATCAAAGGAGTATTTTAAAATTAATTATATAATCGTCAGAGTAGGAATTTAATAGAAGTATAATATTAATAAATTATCTCGTTTTCTTTAGATCGTTTAAGGTTATATAGTGTTTACTCACTAACTATGTATCTAATCACAACCAAGTGCAATATATACCTCATGTAGTCTAAGTACTTTTTCACAACAACTCATATGTTATTCATTAATTAATGTAACTAGTTTTTTCTTTGAAAATTTTCAATATTTAAAATTAATTGTTTTTTTTAATTTTTCTTTAAATATTATGCAATTTTGTTTTATAAATTATTGTTTTGGAATTTTTTTTCCTTCTATGTAAATAATGTCATTGGATTGTTGGACAACATTTTTTGTAAGAAGAGTAGCCCGGTAGTCATATTAAGATTGAATATCTTAAATCTTTGATATTAAAATTTTCATCTTTTGTTTTTTTTATGCAAAATTTTCCTTCTTTTGTTGTATAGTAAATATTTGTAGTAGAAGAAGTTTTCTATATATAAAAAAATAAATAAATAAATAGTAGAAGAAGATACAAATACTGTAAGATTTTTTTTGTGCATGATTCTGGTTAAGTATGTGAATATAATATTCTTTACAAAACTTCTCAAAGATTTAAGTAATTATATGTTGCCAAAATTTCTAAAACATTTAGTTGCATGCATATTCATATATAGAATATAAAAGATCATTACTTATTTTATATGGTTAATTAAGACAATTACTATTATGTAATTTTAAAATTTTATAAAAGGAGTTTTAATTTACAAAAAAAAAAAAAAAAAAAAAAGACACACACCAGAATTTGACATATGTCATTGCTGGTGTGTCTTTTGGTATATATTATTGATTGATTAATTCAAAACTATATTTAAAAAACCGCTAGCAAATTATATACCCTGCTCCTAGCTTTCTCCGCCTAACAGGAAACCAAAACTTAATTTTCTCCGCCTAAGTTTTCCAGTTTAATTCATCGGGTATGCCCGCGATCGGAGTGGGTGGCACTTCTCCTCGATCGTCGGCTTACCGCCTGACAGGGTAAAGTCGTATCCCCTATCAAAAGTAATTCCTAAATCCTCTAACTAATGTAGATAGGGAAGTAGGGTCGAATCCACAGATAAACGAGTCTTTCTATTCCTAATTAATTAATATAATCTAGATTATAAAATAACCAAAATATAATAATCGAAGGAAACTAAACTACTAAGAGTAAAAGTGGGAAAGAATAAAAGTAGGAGGAGAAACAATGAATAAAAGGCCTAGGGCATAGGTTCACCAATAAATAATATTCCAGCGTAAAACATAATAATCAATCATCAATGCATACATTAATCAGATCATAAAGGCCTTTTGCTACGTATTACAATCACACAATTAATTTACCGGTATTAAATCTCATCTCTCGAATCTCGACTTAACCATTTATAAATTAACCTGCCTATTAAAACTAGACCTAAACATCAATTCTCATATGTCGAATCTCGAATCAATATTGTTAAACTCATGCATAAAAGATCTGCGCAAATCTAGTCACAGAGCATTAAATCAATCAATAGGAAATTAATCTAGCATTGATAATCAACAACAATAAATTACCCCTTCATATTATTTATGGATCCCCACAACCCTAGAAAGAAAACTACTCGCACATAATTAAATTAAACTAAAAAAAACAATTAAAGGAGACATGATCAAAGAAAGAGAATAAATTACTGGAATTAAATCAAGAGTTGTAGAGAGAGAAAACAAGAGAAAAAATAATACTAAGAGTTTAATTAAGGGAAAGAGAGAAAAGTTAGAGAGAGAAAAGAAAAAGAAAAAAAATAAAACTAAAACAAACTAATGAAACTAAAACGAAACTAAAACTAATGAAAAGAAACTAAGGGGCCGTTTGGTTCGCACGGGGTAATGGGAATGGAATGAACAAAGGGAATGAAAGGGAATGGAATGAAACCCTTTCTATGTAGTATGTTGTTTGTTTTACAAAACAAAGGAATCACCAATCACCACCAGTCCACCACCACCACCACACAACCCCTCTTCCCCAGCCATTCCACCAGCCACCACCTCACTGACCCTCGCCACCCAATTTCGCACCTCCCCCACCCCCTCGCCGCCCAATTTCGCACCTCCCCCACCCCCTCGCCGCCCATTTTCGCATCTTCCCACCCCTCGCCGCCCCATATCACACCTCCCCCACCCACTGTCGCCAGATATCGGACCTCCCCCGGCCCACCACTCGTTGCTTGATTTCGCATCTCCCCCACCCCCTCGCCACCCGATTTCGCATCTTCCCACCATCACCGCTCGATTTCGCATCTCCCCCACCCCCTCGCCGCTCGATTTCGCTGGCTTGTTTGGGTTTGCGTGGCTGGGTTTGTGTTTCGGAATCTTGGGCGGAAGATCTGTAACACCTAGAAATTCCTTTCTTTCAAAATACATGTTTTGCCCTGTTTAAAAATTTAAAAAGGAATATCTAAGATATTACCGCCACCGTGAAAACGGCTAATGCAACCATCAAAGACACACAGCGGAACACTAACTTCAAAACCGTTCAAAACAAGTCAACTTGAAAAGTCAACCAACGAAAGTAAAGTCAAAACAAAAGTCAAACGAAGTAAAATAAAACCATCCTACAACTTGGAACCATTGTATGCCCTTATTAAAACCAAACCGACTTTAAAACTTTTGCGTTAGTCATGCATGATAATAATATCATAAATAGTTAAAGCGTTAAACACATTATATACTTATAGAAACTAGCATGATTCGCTCTTCACCCATGTCCATTCATGAATATGCTTCATCACCTGAAAACCTCCTCTCTACTTGTCCCCACTACTCGCCATTAGAAAATGGGTCGTCGTAGGGCCAAAGTAAATACATGGCCAAACACACAAACACACACAATCAGTAAAGCTGAGTACATAGGCGTAATCAAACACACTAACATGCTTTCACCTATCAACACACACTTACCTCATTGCACCTGTTTACAAGCACGCACAACAATCAACAAGACACATTAACTAGTCACTAAATAATTCATTTCGCGTTGATTACGCATCGAATGGGTTTCCTCCTACTAACCTCCCCCAAATAAATTTGAGGTTAACTGACACGGGAGCTAACCGTGCCAACGACAAAACCACTCAAAGGTGGCGGAATTTCTGCGCATAATAATAAATAAAAAGGAATGTACAGTGTCCTGTACTCCATTAGAAGTTATGGTTAAATATAAACCCCATAACTTCCCCCATTGTTCATACTCAAGGTATATACGTTCCAAGAGTTTTGGTGCGTAATCTCTTTCACTTTACGTTATTTACCTTTTATTGGACTTGGTGATGACTCTCAAAGCATCATAAAACAATCAACAATAATTATTTACTCAACCAAACATACAAATTAATTATTGAATACTTAGTGACCACATATTATTTAATGTTGAACCTTTTTTAATTCTACCTCAGTGTCAAAGACACCTTAAACGCATAATGCGCCAAAAATCCTATCCCTCGGTGTTAAAAACACCTTAAGTGCACAAAGGCACCAACATACAATTTATTCCTTGTGTACATAGACACTTATATAGCTCCTTCCTCATGCTTAAAGCATCAATAAAAATTATTTGAACCATAATAAAATTCCTTTTCAATATTCCAAACATAATTAAACATGTAGTTTAATTAATCATGTCTTCTAACATGTCATAAATAAAAAATGTAGTTCAAACACAACATGCCCAAAATATAATTTTCCAATCCATAACCATCACAAATAATTCCTGCTTCACAATTCAATCACAAACACCATAAATTCACAATTCCATACATAAACCTTAGCATGATACTACTTGTAATTGATTGAAATCAAGCCTAGCATGATTATACATCATCAAAATATGCTAAGTACGCGAACGTACCTCAAATAAGCTCTTAAAATAACCGAGTACTCTACAACAATTCTCGAACCAAGTCTCCTACATAAAGGGACAATAATACTATATTAATTACCCTTGTATACACAATTTCCAGCAACTTAAACTCACTTTAAATAACTTATAATAATCTTAAAATTATTTTAAAACCCCTAATTAAACCCCTTTTTAACGGATAATCACACCCTTTTATTAAAAATCACAATTATACTACTTTAAATAAAATTCCAATATTTTAAACTAATAAAAAATCCTTTAAAACTTCATCAAATACATCTTTATACTTAAATTATCCATAGAAACATTAAATTATCTCTTACCCCTTTTAAACTCAAAGATAAAATTTAAAGCATAAAAAAAAACTTCGTTAAAAATCAAAAACTGCTCGAAAATCGTATTTAGAGGCTGAATTTGGCCAAGAGAGGGTGGTGCTCACTACCATAGGTAGTGAGTCTTTCTTAAAACATTGTTTCCATTCGAAAAACACTACTTTTTTTTATCAAAATCGGAGGAGCTTAGAACCTGATCGGGATTAAAACGGGATTAATATTAACGAACGGAAATCTAATAATTAAAACATGAATTTACGTTTTTAAAATAATCTGGAATTAAGTTAAACTAATAAGTAGTTATAATCACCAAAATTTCAAAACATTTTT